AGAAAGAAAGAAAGAAAGAAAGAAAGAAAGAAAGAAAGAAAGAAAGAGAAAAAAAAGTCCCTGGGATAAAATCTTCCCATTTCTTCACATTCTTGTCATGAACATGTTCCCCTGTCATTCTCTTCCCAAGTCCACACTGGCTTCCTCATCCAGCCAGGCTCCCATGTGTCACCTCAACACCCAGTCCCCTGCTCCCTCCACCCCTAGGTGTCAGAAAGTTGAGCACACTTGCAGCTCCCATAACCAGACACAGAGGAAAAGACACCAGGACTCCCCTGTCACACCGGCTACGGGAACCCCAGAGCAGCAGCCAGGCACACATACTGAGCAGCACTGAGAATACCCTGGAGGTTGCCGAGACGGTTCAGGGGGCTCAGGGGGTACAGGCACGTGACACCAAGCCTAACAACCGTTGTTCAATCCTCAGGACTCACACGACAAAAAGACAACCAGCTCCTGCAAGTTGACTTCTGCCCTCACAACAACAAGGAAGGTACTAATCCAGAAGCCATCAGTGACACTTGCCAGTCCCAATGTAAATAAAAGTGGGAACATACATAAGCTGGGCATGGTGGCACCTGTCTGTAATCCCAGCACTCGGGAGGCAGTGGCAGGCAGATCTCTGTGAGTTCGAGGCCAGCAAGACCCGATCTCAAAAAAATAAAAACAACGACAACAACAAAAAGGGAGAACACACACAATTGTTTCACATATAGAAATTTTCTTTTACTTGTAATAAATTGCATTGTGTTTCTCAACTGCTAATTCACAGCTTTTTAATTCTGTATTAGTTATTAACATGTGCACATGTGAGTGTGTGTGCACTTAGCCAGTGCACATGTGACTGTCAGGGGACAGCTGTTGGGCATCGGTTCTCTCTGTCACCATGCAGGTCCCGCTGACTGAACTGGGCTTGGGAGCAGGTAGCTGTACCACTGAGCCTTTCCGCCAGTTCCTGCACCCTTTCCAAAAGATTTATTATACTTTTATGGCACTGCATGTCCTGTGTATGTGCACACTAGTGCAGGTACCTGCAGAGACCAGAGGCACCTACTGGACGCCTTAATGCTGGAGTGACAGGAGGCCGGGAGGCACCTGATACAGGTGCTGGGAACTGAACGGGGGGTCCTCTCAAAGTGCAGCTCACTCTCAGCCACTGAGTTATCTCTCTAGCCCTCACTTCCACTTTTAAAATATGTTCGGAGGACACATGTCACACTTACCAGTGAAGGCGTATGGCGTGGAGAAATGCAGAAAGCCCCTCCATGACCAGAAGGATAAAAATAGTCAAAACTGCAAAGAAAGCCATGACAGGCAGCAGCAGCAAGACCCCGTAGGTGGTGTCCACACGCAGGCCCACACGCATCAGCATGGCCCACAGCACATCGGACAGCTCTGCAAAAGAAGCCATTGAGCAGAGTTCAGTCTGAAAACATCAGCCCTCTCACCACCCTCGGGACAGCAGGAATGACCACCAGTCAGCCTACCCCTGAAGCAGAGGACCCGAACCTCCTTGCTTTCTCTGTGAAGAACAACAATCTTAGGGGGCTCCATTGTCCCTTCCCATTGCTAATTCAGCAAGTTCAGGGACTGGACCCAGATTGAGAGTCCTGTCTGAACCTAGCAAGGTGACCTGTTTCAAGTCTGAGTCTTGTGCCAACAACAGCCTCTTCACTCTCATTGTCTTGGGACACAGAGGGCCTTGCTCTGTCCCATGTTGGTCAGTACCCTCTTGTGACTACCTATCTCTGCCACATATCCCAGGGCTTTGTCATGGAATACCAAGGCAACACAACTTCACGTTTCACTGTTAATGAAGTGAATTCAGTCAGTGATCAGTTACCTCCAGGCTGGAGCAAAAATGACATGGCTCTCTTTACAACTGTCAGCGTAATTGTCAGGTGTGTCTCACACAGAGGATGAGTCAGGCTGGGCTCAGCTGCACATGAGCAGAACCGTGCATGAGGACTCACTGGGAGTCTGAGCTATGTCTCAGCAGTTGCCACACTCACTTTAAATAAGACTCCACTCAGTGAGTAAAGCAATGGCTAGGATACACTCGGAAACATGAAACAGAGGAGAGCATCCGCGCCAGAGGTTACCAGGCCCTCAGTTCGCAGAGCCCTTCTGTGCCTAGGCCAGGACTGGAACCTGCGTGATCAGAAGGTGGGTCAAAACAACAAAGAGCCCTGGTCCACCACCACCTGGAGAGCTTACACACTCCACAGGACTAAGCAACATACGTGCATGCGCCAGGCTGAGGGCCCAAAGCCTCAGGTAGGACGCGGTGTTGGAGATGCAGCCAAGGCAGTACTCAATGGAGTGGATGGTCTGCGTCATCAGGATCTCCACAAAGTTAAACTGAGGGACAACAGAGAACATTAGACCCCATATCACAAACCTGCTCCACTGTGAGTCCCTGGCCAGCCTCAACGATAGAGCATGCCAACGCCTAGAGACAGCAGGGACTGGTCTCTCCAGTCCCCTCCCCAACACGAGCTCCCTGACTCTACTCAAGCTTCAGTCCCCTCTCTACAACCCGAGCACCAGCCTAGAACTGCGACTGCCACAAAGGCCCACGGGAGAGATCTCAGTGACATCTGAACTGGCCTCCAAAACTAGCCAGCACTCATATGGACTCCCCAGCTACAGGTGCTCAGGGGAACCTCATGTCTGAGGCTGGGGAGGGAGGGTAGAGGGTGCTGTCCCCTTGAGAGGAAGGACTGTAGCACCCTGGCTCTTCCCCACCCAGTTTTCTTTGCTCTGTGAACTTGTGATGCTGTTACCTGACCCGGATGAAAACCACAAAATATAATAATAACCAGACAACCACACTTGCACAGCCAATGACCAGCGTCCCCTCTCACCCGACCCATCAGCTCAGAGCTCACCTCCTCACACGTCACTTCCCGGCAGCCTTCTTCCATGCGGCTGCTCCCCTCTTCTATGTCCTGGCTGCCCAGCAAAGAAACCTCCTCTTCACTGTCCTTCCTTACGAGTGTGTAGCCGCTCTAATGGTAAAGAGCACTGTCAGCGCCGGGGTGCCTCAGGGTGGACAAAACCCAAGTAGCTGCTTCCCTTATGGCTCAGCTCTCTGGGAATAAGAAAACTGTCTCCAAGAAAATGCACACTTCATATGCTTTGTGACTGTCAAAGAGCAATGGCGGGAAGTGGAGAATAATAAGTGTTGGCAAGGATCAAGAAACTGGAAGCCTAGAGCACTCCAGCTGCTAGAGAAGGACGGCAGAACTGCCCCGTGACCTGACACCTCCACTTCTACACCCAGGAGTATCCATGGAGCGACCTGAGGGAAGGCCTGTGTGAGCATGTTATAACAGTATTATTCCCCAAGCTGCAGCCCAACAGCAACATCCAGGCTCTAAATAAGGCCAGCTTTGGAGGAATCAGAACCTTGGGACACAGGGAGCACACTTACCCGGCTCACACCAAAGCAACTGCGCCCATTGTGCAGCCACAGCAGGAAGAGCGGCTTTCCTAAGAAGAGCACAGGGACCGCCAGCACAGTGAGGGCCAGCAACACTCTCTGGACATGCGCCTGCGGATGTAAGGGAGAAGGCAGGAAGATGGAAGGGTGTGGAGTAGACTGTGAGGGCCAGGGGCACAAGACAGATGACTGCTAAGTCCCTGTGACCAAGGAATCCTCTGCACTTCTTCCAGCTCCCAACATTCAGGGCACAGCACTGAAATACTGCTTTGAAAACAGTAAAAGTCTAAATGGAGGTTTGGGTAATGCCTCAGTCTGAGCTGAGTTTGGAGCCCGCTGTGGCTCTGCAAGCTTGTGACCCAGCCCTTGGGGAGCAGAGCAGGAGGGCTCCTGGGGCTCCATCACTGGTCACCCTGGCCTACTCTGACAATTCCAGGTCAGGGATAGACTATCACACACATACAAATGAGAGGTGCATCATGCCTGAGGAATGGTATCCAAATTTGACCTCTGCCCTGAAGACACAGGTACCCACACTCACACAAATTCTAAGCAGGAGCTCGCTTTGGCATCACACTGAAATATTGGAACCAAAGAGAGCTCATCACGGTCCCTGCAAAAAAGGATGACATGTGAATTTATAAAGCATTCCATTATTTTTAAAAAATCTAGCTAGGGCAGTTAGGATGCATGCTTTTAATCCCAGCACTCTGGAGGCAGAGGCAGGTGGAACTCTGAATTTGAGGCCAGCCTGGTCTACAGAGTGAGTTCCAGGACAGCCAGGGCTACACAGAGAAACCCTGTCTTGAAAATCAAAACAAATAAAAAAATCTAAATGGAGTCAAACTATAGTTAATAACTTCCCGAGATCACTGCAAAAGGAAAACCAGGAACACTAGTAGAATACGCTCACAGTCTTGCTTTCGGTGTAGCCTTCCTTATCACAGACTCCGTGGAGAAGGCTGAAGGCAGGGGCTGTCACTGCCGGGTAGAAGAGGAGCACTCACCTGCCCAGGATAGAGGCCATGTGTCTCACTGGACGGGAACAGGAACATGTTAATGAACTCGATCAGGATGCTGGGGGCCTCCCTAGAGGTCTCTGCCGAGTATGCCAGCCACTTGTAGATGATCATGAAGATCAGGTACCCAAAGATGGAGAGCATGAACAGGATCTCAGGGACGGACACCAGGTAGATGTTAAACTTCTTCCTAAAGTGCCTGCAAGAGGGTCAATGAGGCCGCTGAAAGGCTGTCGCCATGGTGCCACAGGCCGCTCCAGGGCTCCATGGGTACCTGCTGGTCGAAGTCAGAGCTGCAGATCCCCCACAGAAGACAGAGACTATAGAACCACACACACACACAGATCCCCCACAGAAGACAGCGACTACAGAACCACACACACACAGATCCCCCCCCAAGAGATAGAACTACAGAACCACACACACAGATCCCCCCCCACAAGAGAGAGCACTACAGAACCACACACACAGATCCCCCCCACAAGAGAGAGAACTACAGAACCACACACACAGATCCCCCACAGAGAGAGAGAGAGAGAGAGAGAGAGAGAGAGAGCGCGAGCTAGAGAATCACACACACACACAAACACATTGTTATTGAGTCTGACTTCAAAATATTAGGGTATTTTGCTGCTGTTTTTTTTAAGATTTTAAAATATTATTTTAATGAAATCAATTTTTAAAAATTTATTTAATTTCTTCATGATTGTTTTGCCTGAATGTTGTCAGCACACCATGTACATGCCTGGTGCCCACAGAGGCCAGAAGAGGGTATAAGCTTCTTGGAACTAAAGCCATAGCCAGTTGTGATGTGAACCAGCATATGGGCACTGGGGACCAAATCCAGGTCTTCTGCAAGAGCAAGAAGTGCTCTTAACCACTAAGTTGTCTCTTCAACCCCCAACTTTAAAAATTATTTTTGGCCAGACAGTGCTGGCACACGCCTTTAATCCCAGTACTTGGGAGGCAGAGACAGGCAGATCTCTGTGAGTTCAAGGCAAGTCTGGTCTACAAGAGCTAGTTCCAGGGCAGGTTCCAAGGCTACAGAGAAACCCTATCTCGAAAAACCAATATATATATATATTTTCAATTATGTGTAAGTATATGTGAGTGGGGGGGGGTGCACTTGATGGCAAAACCAAAGGCAACAAATCTCCCTGGAGCTGGAATTACAGGCAGTTGTGGGTTGTTCATGGGTACAAGTTAAAACATGTACTTACAAGTGGTTAAATATTCCCAGAATGACACCAAAAGTCATGTGAATAATTCCTAAAATAACAGACATTTTCATCTTGAAGGAATTGAGGAAAGTGAGGCGATTTGTGGCCAGGTTCCAAATCTAGGATCAAACCAAACAGAAGCAGTAAGTCCCATTAGCAGGTACTAGAGAGCTCCTAAATGACTGGGTCACTCTCTGTTTACAGAGGAATAACACCTTCTCTTGGTGTTTTCAACTGACTTCCCAGGCCAGGGCTTCAATTTCAAAACCAGGGAGCCTGCCTCTCCTGAGCAAGGCTGTAAGCACTGCTGGATCCAGGGAGCCTGCCTCTCCTGAGCAAGGCTGTAAGCACTGCTGGATCTAGGGAGCCTGCCTCTCCTGAGCAAGGCTGTAAGCACTGCTGATCTAGGGAGCCTGCCTCTCCTGAGCAAGGCTGTAAGCACTGCTGATCTGGCTGCAGGGGGCTCATCCTCCTCTCCAGATCAAACAATGAAGCAGCTCAGAGCCTGTTTGGTGCCCATGAAGAGTTACTTATACCCCAGAGGAAAAGACTGGTAGATATGACCATGGCCCCATGACTCTGCCAACCACTCCTGCACTGACCTGGCTCCCCAGGTGGCAGGCCACTCCACTGACTACACTAACAGAGGTACAGCAGCTCCCCTCACTCAGGAAAAGAAGCACTCACAGGGTCAATGCCGAAAGGGTAGGGGCCTCGAAAAACTCCAGGGATGTTCGGATCCAGCTGCAAAGTCCTGCTGTGCCTGATGGTGCTGTCACTGAAAGAGAGGGCAGAGAATGTCGCCATTTGCAGAGGAAGGGCCTGAGAAAGGTACACCCTACCTGTCGCATTTCTGCTCACAGACCACTTACTTCCAAAGCACCATCTTCTTTTGTTCCTCTTGAGAGTGACTGGAGCTGTACATGGCAGACACGTTCCACCCGGAGCCAAAGAGGTTGACAGACTTGGAGAAGCAATCATTGTAGATGAGGCCGGTGTACACGGAGAACAGCCCCATCAGCAGCAGGATATAGCGGCCGTTAAAGAACATCCTCAGGATCTGGGAGAGGACACAGTGATGACAGACTCACCCACTCGACAGTGGATCAGGGGAAGCTCATTCTGGTTTTGTCCAGCCACTCCTCTGGGCCTTCCCAGAAAACCCCAACAGCGATGTCTTAGCCAGGGGTGGCAGGCACACTCCTCTTATAGAGCTTTACACTCAAAGCTCTTGAGCCAGGTGTGGGGCACAAACCTATAATCCCAGAACTCAGGAGGCGAAAATAAGGGGATCACAAGTTCAAGGCCAACCTTCGATATGTAACAAGTTTGAGGCTAGCCCAGACTACCTAAGACCACCTCAATGACTCCCCACAGAAAAAAACAATGGACAAAGCACAGCTCTCTCCCAGTACCACAACATCATGGCTCCCACCTTGCATGGGCTGGCAGGCATGCATTACCTCCTGTGACTGGCTTAGTCTGGGATGATTCTCATTTAACACCAGTAAAAGGGCAAACAGGAACATGACAAAGCCGTGTCCAAAGTCACCAAACATCACAGCAAACAGGAACGGGAAGGTGATGATGGTGAAGAGAGCTGTGGAGACAGAGGGTTGGCAAGTTCTCAGCAGAGGCCTTGGGTCAGCACGTGTTCTCTCTCTCTCTCTCTCTCTCTCTCTCTCTCTCAAGACAGGACAGTAAGGGCATTTAAATGCTATACAAAGTTGACAAAGTGACAGTAGTGAGCCTGCCTGACAAGCATCTATGACATTCCCTTATCAAAAGGGACCAACAGGGCTGGGCATGGTGTCACATGCCTATAATCCCAGCTCTCAGGAGGCAGAGACAGGAAGATCACCAAGGGTTCAGGGCCAGCCTGGGCTACATTGGGATTGTTACAGGCTAGTCAGAGCTATAGGTAAGACTTTGTCTCAGAATCGCAACAAAAGTCAAAGGTGAGCTGACATAAGTGCAGGACCAGCCTTGTTCAGATGCCCACCTGGGTTCACTTCTCGGTAGCTCCCGACACCATAGGCGTCCACGATGTTCTGGAAGCCCTCAGTGAACTTGTTGGTGCGGATCAGAGTGGGTGGTGTCTCTTTCGTAGGGATTGTGTTCATGAACGAGGGGATTGTAGCTCCGCTCTCTCTCTTCCACACAGAAAAGAAAAAAAAATAAGATGACTGTCCACGAGAGCAGCTACAGATAGGCACAGATGAGCTGGCCACGCCCCAGCAGGGTGGGGGGGTGCGTGTTCACAGAAGTAAGCTGCCAGACCGGACATCCATGCAGAGCCTAGTGGCATGAGGCAGAACTTGGAGCTGAGGCCCTTGGAAGGAGAGCAGAATGGAACTAGGGAGCGGAAATGGAATGCTGGGATAAGGTGGATGGAAACAGAATCAAGCCCAGGGCAGTGGAAGCTGACAAGGCCTGGGTGTCAGCATTTGGGAGGATTCGGCAGGAGAACCTCAAATGGGAGCCCAGCCTAGCAACAGAGCAAGACCATACCTCAAACAGAATGAATAAATAAATAAATAACAAAAGAGAGCAAGATAAAGAAAAAACCTTGATATCTAGGACTTTTAGGACTTTATCTCTTAAAAGTGGTCAAGAAAGGGCTGGTGAGATGGTTCAGTGGGTAAAGGTGCTTGCCTACAAGCCTGACGACCTGAGTTCAATCCCCAGGACCTCCACGGGCACGGTAGTACCCACATATGGACACAATGCATAATAAAAGTAATTTAAAGTGCTCAGCAAAAAGGAAGTCAGACACAGCTACAACACTACCTAATTTACAAAAAAGAAAATAGGGAAGAAAAAACAAAATTTTATCTTTGTGGCAGAATTTTCTCTGTGAGTTTTCAGCCCAGTTCAGGGTCATGTTTACACTTGCCCAGAAATGCACACCATCTACAATGAAAAGCAGAGGAGAGAAAGACCAGCACGGGGCAAAGAGCATGGTGAGCATGTGAGCAGGAAGGTGAGCTGAGAGAAGCCGGAAGGAGCCCAGCCTCACTCAGCAGGGGGGTGGGGGGTCCTTCTAGATGACTGGCAGGTGCTAAGCTTCAAAGGTCACAGGCTGTTCTGCGCACTGGTGTTTGTACCTGGTGGACTGAACCCAGCTAATAAACCAAGGAGCGTGCCTGCAACAGAGCCTGGGCATAAAAAGAGATTTTATTCAGCAGGAAGAACAACATGCAATCTGCTGGTTAGAGGGAGCCGATTTCAAGCAGCCATGTCAGCCGCCAACCACCATCCTTGACTTTCCAGTGGAACTACAGGCCAAACACAGATCTTTAGAAATTACAAAGAGACACGGGGGTTTCATTTTAAAAGCAAAATAAAAGAAAGGCTGCCTAATCCCTAGCCCTATCTGGCCAAATGTGGTTAAGTGACGGAGACGGAACAGAAGTGTAGTGGTGACCCTGAGGGAGGGGCAGAAAGGGCTGTGGTCAGCAGGAAGAGCTTCCACGGCCTTTCTTCAAGTCTTTCTCTTGTGGTTCATACAGTACAGGACTACTCAGAAACACAGCTTAAAACGTTCCCCCACACAATGCCAGAGAGACCAACTCTTTCATTCATTTATTTTTTCTCTGCATTGTTGTTGCGTCTGTGAGGGTGTCACACAGGTCCTCTGGAACTGGAGCTACGAACAGCTGTGAGGCTGCCATGTGATTGCTGGGAACTGAACTCGTCTGGAAGAGCAGTCAGTGCTCTTAACCACCAAGCCATCTCTCCAGCCCCAGAGAGCCACTCTTCAAACCCTGTCTGAAAACCGTGTCTGACCAGGCCCTGGCCAGCACTCAGAAACTTTTTCTGTCTTGCTTGAGACAATGTCTCAGGCTGGCCTCAAGCTCTCCATCCTCCTGCCGCAGCCTCCCTAGTCCTGGGGCTCACAAGCCTGCAGCACCGCATCCAGCGACACACCCTGTTCTTGAGTGTTCTGGGTCTGGGGGTGTCAGTGGGGCGCGAGCCTTACCGAACCTTCCTCCAGCGCTCTGCGCAAGCCTGGCAGGTCCACCTCGGGGCACCAGACCTCCGCTATGAGACACTTGTTGGTGACGTCAACGCTGCACATGTTGAGCATGTGGTAGATGGCTTTCATCTTCCTCACCTGCACCACCCGGCTGCACACTGACTCGGCCGCCTTGCACAGCACCTGCCTCAGGTAATCCTCCGTTTTGTGCAGCACCTGTGGGGCCGAGCAGGGGAAGTTCTTGTCCACCAGCCTGACCTCCAAGGAGGAGCATTCTGGGTACCTGCTCCCATGGCAGTAACACCAGGAATGGTCAGAGACACCAGGTGACCTCCTAGAACAGAGCCCCAAGGGCACAGGAAGAGCTCAGACATTCTATCACTGGCAGAATGATGACCTGACTGACCCAAACAGCCCTTTGACTCTCACCTACACTCAGGATGGCCTAGCCCTGGAAGCTACCAACTCCCATTTTCCTTCTGTTTCCATGTGTGAAAATCTGATTCTGATATTGCTATCCAGACTCCTCAACACCATCAAGAGAAAGTCAAATTAAACAAGCAGGTGGGACGACGCCCAGCATTCAAGCTTGTCTTCCATGGTCAAAGGACAATCCAGTAGACCAAAGAGACACAAAGGGCTTGTTTGTCTAAGTCCCTTCACCACTCCTGGCTTTGTAACCACAAAACAGACACCCCGATGTCAGAAATACATGGTGACCACCCACAACCAGTTACCAGGCCTCTCACATGCTCCCAGCCCCGGCTTACTCACAGTGTAAAGGTCTTGGATCCGAGTATTGAGCCCCTCCTGAATCTCCCTGCGCTCCTCAGCCGTGTTTGGATACGGGTAGACATGGCAGTGGTAACTAAGGACAGAATTCAACAGTCTGGTGTCTGGTAGGACAAGAAGGGCTGCTTCTACCACCAGCACCAGGATTCACTCAAGCCAGACACACAGCCTGCAGCACCAGGCAGGGCCGTCCTCTGACGGCAAAGCCATAGCCACCTGCCATGGGGAGGCCTTACAAGCAGGCTGCTATAGGAAATAGGTCTCAAAATGCTCTCAAACCAACCCACCCTGCCTTCCTGAAATGCAGATATCCTGAGGTTAAAAACCACCAAGAAAGCTGAACAGTGGTGGCGCACACCTTTAATCCCAGCGCTCAGGAGACAGAGGCAGGTGGATCTCTGAGTTCGAGGTCAGCCTAGGTTACGGAGCAAATTCTAGGACAACCAGAAATACACAGAGAAATCCTGTCTACTGTCTTGAAGAAGAAGAAAACAAAAAACCAAAAAAAAAAAAAAAAAAAAAAAAAAAAAAAAAAACACCTAACAGGCAGAAAGCACACCTTAGAAGACATGCCAGAACGGTGGTGCAGTCTGTAATCCAGCATTCAGAAGATAGAGGCAGAGGGAGGAGAATCATAAGTCTGAGTTGGCTATTGTTTCAGGGTTGACGCTGTTTAGGCTGAGCCGTGGGCTGAGGCCTGATCTGTCCTGCAGGCACCATGGCCTCAGACACCCAGAAAACGCCAGAAGCACGCTGCCTTAAAACCACAGTCGCCCGACTCTGCCTGCTAAGCGATGCCTTACTCTCAGCAGGAGCCACCAGCCCTCTCCCAAGATCTCCCAAGAGTAGCCTGGTAAAGGCAACAAAGCGGCTTCACTAAGCTGGAGTGGCTTTGCTGGTCACACTAAAATGTGTCTGCTGCAAGGATACAAGCTGGGGCTGGAGAGAGGGTTCAGAGGTTAAGGGCACCAGCTGCTCTTCCAGAGGACCTGGGTTCAGTTCGCAGGACCCACACTGTGGCTCACAATAGTCTATAGCTTCGCCTCTAGGGGACCCAACACCTACACTCTCCCCAGGTGATCACAGACTGAGTCAGGCTGACAGTCTGCCCAACCAGTGTGCACCTGACAAGTCCTAGATGCAGTAAATAAACAGAAGAATCAGAGGCCTGCTGCAGCTCAGGGCAGAGGGCCTGCTTGGCCTGAGAGTACCTACTCCTTTCTCAGCACTGGAAAAGAGGAAAAGACAACTTTCCTCACCAATCACAGATCTTCTTAACTTTGTGGCCGATCTGCTCGCCCCAGAAGGATATCAGGAACACGTGCCACTTGATGACCTCACCCTACAAGACACACAGGAAGTGAGTCTGCCCTCAGCCCCCAGATCAAGTCCACCATCAGGGCATATGGTGCAGACACACAGGGGACAGTGAGTCTGCCCTCAGCCCCCAGACCAAGTCCACTGTCAGGGCAGACAGTGCAGCGGCTCTGACTGCAGCAAACTCATGACTGCAACAAGACTGCATCACCCACTCACCAGCAGCACGCACGCCGGCTCACAGGCATCTGCAAGCCACACACTCCAGTAAGCGGGTGAGCACACGAGGCCGAGGTCTGCCTCTTCCCAGGTCAGCTTTTATATTGTAACCAAGCACCCTCCTCCATTACTGCCACGATGGCCCTTTTTGTTGTGATGGTGCTGTTTAAGATACATATACATCTAGAATCCAGTCGCGCAGCCTTCTGGAAAGCCTCACTCGCCAACAGGTAAGAGTACAGTTCCCAAAAATCAACAATGCACAGTAAACAAGAAGTCAAAGAGAAACACAAAATAAAGACAGATGTGGCTCACTGATGAAAAGCGACAAAGAGACTTTGGAGGAGCAAGCCCACGCTGCCCCAGGTAAAGAGAAACCCCATAACATTTGCTAATTGAGTATTTACATAATTTGTGACTTCAAACAACATAATTCTGTGAATAATGAGGACCAGCCATCATTACAATGAACAATGAAACAGACTTCTATGAAGCTGAGCTGGGAAGTGTAGAACTCACCTCATGTGAACCGGGGCCAGGCTCAGCCCCCAGCACTGGGAACAGAGCTAGCTGAAGGTGCTCTGCCTGTTTGCCAGCCACTGTTGAGCTGCCAACGCTAACAGCAGTGAGCCAAGAGAGCTATGGTCAGGCTGACAACACGGCGGAGGACCCTACAGAAAAAACAGGCTGGAGGGGCAGTGAGGCAGGGTGTGTGTGGCCATCTATGAGAAGTGGGAGGGCTAGAGAGATGGCTCAGAGGTTAAAGCACTGCCTATTCTTCCAGAGGTCCTGAGTTCAATTCCCAGCAACCACATGGTGGCTTACAACCATCCATAATGAGATCTGATGCCTTCTGGCATGCAGGCAGACATGTAGAAGGAACACTGTATACATAATAAATTAATAAATTTAAATTTAAAAAAAACAGGCGGGAAAGAAGGTCCCAGGAAAGATGACTGCCATGAAGGGGAGGGAGAGAGCTACACAGACCTGGGCAAAGACTGGAACAAAGGGAAAAGTACACAGAGAAGCACACTGGGAGGTGGTGGCCAGCTGAACATGGCCAGACAGGGCCCAAGCCACCAAAGGGCTTGGGGCTTTCTGCTGTGTAAACAGGAAGCCACAGAAAGATTCTGAGAACAGTGAGAAGCCCTGGTAGGGTTAGCTCAACGAGGCTGAGAGGAGTCCAGGGGGAGGCGGGGCAGGTGCAAGAGTGCAGGTGGGGGCTGCTGCCACCTGGAGGCAAGAAAAGTACAGCCAAAATCCCAACCAGAGCGGCCTGAGCAAGGGAACCAGCATGAACCAGACTCCTGGTTTCTGAGTTCAGTCTCTGAGTCTGGGGATAGAGTGAAGTAGGGGAGAAGACGGGTGTCCTGAGGCTTCTGCCCTGAACCTTAGACATGGAGTTGCTGCTTTCTGAGGTGGGGTCTGGACGCCCAGACTTAGGAGAATTGTAGGGCTAGTGTGCACACAGATTGGAACAGGGCTCTGCCTGTGACAGGCACTCACCGTCTCGGGGTCCTCCAGGGACTCGTCCAGCTCTGCATAGGTCACGATGGTGTACCCTTTGCAGGCCCGCCACAGCATTCTTTCAAATGCTTCCACTTTGCCTTGCTGAATCAGGCCAGACACGAACCTGCGAGACAGTAAGGGGCCAGGTTTTAGGACTGAGAGATCTCCACCTCCGCCAGCCAAGGCTGCTCCAAGAGCCATCAAGCGGCAAGATGCTCACGTGCTAGACAAAGCATTGCTGAAGCTGCCTTTTCCATGGACAGCTGAGCCGCTAGTGAGGGGAAGGTCTTGGAATTTCAAGACCAAACCAGATATCCAGCTGCTCTGCTCTTTACACTGAAGACCCTGGACATGCCAGTGTGGAAGAGGACAATAAGCCCCAGGCACTGGCAAGGTAGATTGGGTAGAATCCACCACAGCCAGGACTTCCTGCCCAAAGGGCTGCTCCTTAAAGGAGTGGAGACCTGGAGGGGAAGGAGCCTCGCAGCCACTTGCTTACATCAGCTGCGGGACTGGACACAGATGTCTATCCTCAGAACACACAGCCACAGCACAGAACTCAGCCAGGAGTTTGGCATAAGTTCATATCACTTCCAAAAATTAAATTAAAAAAATTTAAGTCATTGTTCTAAGAATAAAATTCCCATTCTAAGAATAAAAACTGAGCCAACTCCAGAAAGTTACCTTCTGACCTCCACATGCATACCATGGCATGCAGGTACCAATCCCAAACATACACACTAGGTAAATGTTAAAAAATAAAAAATAAAAAAAAAACAGAACAGGAAATAACTCAGTAGTTAAGAGCACTGGCTGCTCCTTCAGAGGACTTGGGTTTAATTCCCAGTACCCCCAAGGTGGTTCATGATGGGCTATAACTTCAGTTCCAGGGGATCTGATGCCCTCTTCTGGCCTCTGTGAGCCTCAGGAACATTCATAGTATCCAGGCATACAAACAAGCAAAAACAACCATATGCATAAACATTTCTTAAAATTAAAAAAGAAAATCATAAATTTAAAAAACAAAGTAAATTTTTTTTAAAAAAAGTAATGAATTTAAAAAGAATTAAGTAGAATTTTCCAGATGATGATGATGCACGCCTTTAATCCTAGCACTCAGAAAACAGAGACAGGTGGATCACTAGTCCACAAAGTGAGTTCCAAGGCATCCAGGACTGTTTCACAGAGAAACCCTGTCTCAAAAAGAAGAAGAAGGAGGAGAAGGAGGAGGAGGAGGAGGAAAAAAAGAAAGAATTAATAAAAAATTAAAATAAAAAAGAGATGAAACACACCTGCCATCCCTGCACCTGGGAGGCTGAAGCAAAAGAATCAGAAGTTCAAGGTCATCCTCAGCTACATAGTGAGTTTGAGGCCAGCCTGGGCTCCATGACACTTTGTCTAAGAAGAGCATGAAGATGAGGAGCAAACAACAAAGGAAACAGAAGAACAGAGGCAGAAGCAGAAGTCGTCACTGGAAACATAATTTAAACAGAACCCGAGCGAGTTAACCCCAGAGAATCGACTCCTATGAGCGGCCCTCCGACTCCTGGCACAATTACGTCAGGCTCACAGGAGTCAACACTGGGGACACAGACATTGCTTCTTTCCAACTCAACAGACCAAGGGAAGAAATCCCCGCAGCATTCAGCTACGTCAACACTGTGTGATTAAGTCCAATGTACAGGAGCCCAGTGTTCTCCGACAGACGCTCACCCTGGGCCAATCCCAGGCTATAATGGCCCATTCACCCGCACCATGGCCACGTCTCCTAGTCTACGGGAAGGGCTTGGTGCGCACTGTCACCTACCCCAGCTTGGCGCCCAGCCTCTGCATGCAGCTGTAATCCAACAGAGAATCGTTCTCTAAGGCAGGGAACTCTTCATAAGTGGGTTCAAACTGAAAGACATGGAAGCAGGCACACGGTTAACAGACTCCACCCTTACAAGCTCCCAGATAAGTCCACAGAGGTACGGTACAACTGAGCATCGGTACAACTGAGACGGGCAAGCTTCCCCATAGGAGAGAAACACTCTATCAAGCTTGTCAGGTGAACTGCTTGAAGACATTCACATATGGGAGTGACTCTAAGTGAGGTTGTACCTTGGTTCAAGAGACAATAACTGTATCTAGGGTCACAACTAGGGCAATTAAGAGCAACCTCAGAAGGGAAGGGCTCGATCGCCTGCACAGCCCAGCGCGGTGCAGGATGAGCAGCTGTAACTAAGATGGAATGTTCTAAGCATATGGTGACACTCGGGGCATCCACACAAACACCCCCAGCCCACTGGGCCTCCAACGCCTGTGTGAACCAATCTTCACTGGTAAGGAGGTTCCTCTTGCCCCCTCTGCTCACAGCCATTTGTAAAAACAAAGATTTTTTTTTCCTCATGACCATAAACACATTGCTTGGGGCTGGAGAGATGGCTCAGTGGTTAAGAGTACTTGTTACTCTTCCAGAGTTCCTGGATTTGATTCCCAGCACTCACATCGCTGTTCATAACTGCTTCCAACTCCTCTTCCAGGGAACTGGGGCTCCATTTACACACTTAGTGGACAGGCAAAACACCCACATACATAAAATAATAAAATAAAATAGAAGCCAGAAAGATGGCTTAGGGTTAGAAGCACTGACTGCTCTTCCAGAGGCCTGGGTTGGATTCTCAGCACCCAGGTGGCCACTCACACATGTGGTGCACAGATATATATGCAGGTAAAATATCAATACACAACACACAAAACAAATAAATTTAAAACATTTTAAAAGTTTTCTTTGAAACAGTTAAAAAAAAAAAAAAGGCCAGGACAGCAACTTGGGAGGCAGAGGCAGATGGATCTTAGTGAGTTTAAAGCCAGCCTGGTCTACAAAGTGAGTTCTAGAATAGTTTGGGCTGTTACACAGAAAAACCCTGTCTTAAAAAACCGAAAAAAGAAAATCTTTTTCTGAACTGAAAACTAAAGCCTCTGACGGCAGGAAGCAGTGTCTCTGATAAAACCACTAACACAGGAAGAAGTGTACAATCCAGCCTAGAATAAAGCAGAGGCTGATGTCTCACTTCAAACGAAACAAAAACACATCTACACCAAACACAGCAGCTCCTGTCTGTAATACCAGCGCTCAGAAGGCTGAGGTGGAAATCAGTTCAACTTCAAGGCCAGCCTGGGCTACATAGTGAGATCTGGTCTCAAAAACAAAGAAGTCAATGTTAGCAGGGCCAGAGCTGGCAAGGTGCACGCCTAGTGTGACAAAGCCAGCCTGACTTCCAGGGCGGGGGACGTGGAGGCTCCGGGATCAGCAGTCAGCCAGGAACACACAAGACTACCTCAAAACCAAAGCAGGAAGGGCACTGACAACAGAACACAGGGAGGAGCGGGGACTGTCAGGTGTGCTTTCTCCCACGAGCAGGCGGGCACACGTACTTCCACGTTCCGCCTGACGAAGGTCTTCGTGACCCTCAGCATGTGGGTGTACTCCACCAGTTCCAGCAGGTTCTTCCTCAGCTTCTCCTTGTTCTTGGTGACTTCTCTCAGCTCCACCTCGAGCTTCTGCAGCTGCTCCTACAACAACACAGCTGCCGTGAAAGCAGGCTTAGTCGGGGCAGCCTCCTCACCCCAGTCACCCAGGCTCAAAAAGGCCACAGTGCTGGCAAAGAGCCAGAATGGAAATGTGCCAGCCAGGGTCTGACTGCAAGGTTCACCAGCTCATCTCAGTTTATGGTGCGAACCACAACACCTGCAGGCTGCAGTGACCCCAGCACCTGCAGGCCACACATGGCGCCCCCCAGAATCTGCTGCTGCCAGCGTTCCTTCAGCTGCTTGTCCACCCCACACACCAATCTTTATCATTTTGTTTACAATGGCAACAACATATGATCTTCTCTAAACATTCTCCTGCCTCCAGTTTTGAAGTCTCTGCTTGGTCACACCAGACAACTAAGGATGTAGGCTTCTATGGTTACAACCTAGCGTCCTTCTCCTGCTTTACATATTCAAACCACAGACACAGACTTTGTAAGACAAACCACTGAGCCCATGCAAACTCATTCAAAACAACCCTTCCTGCTCCTCCTCCTCCCTGTGCTCTGCATCCTCAAAACTACCAGCAGCATGGCTGTCCATAAGAATGTCATAACCAGGCCATCCAGCCAAACCAGAGGGCTGTCACCGCGGCAGGGAGGATGCCATGCTTGGTGTGAGCTCAGACACCAAGTGGCTGGCTACTTCCTGCAGACAGACAGAACAGCAGGCCACAAAGGGCCGCGGCAATACCACAGCAATTATTTCAGAAGAGTGATGAAGAGCCACTATATTTCTTCTAAGTGCCAAACCCTAACAAGAAAAGTCTAGAAGGGAAGTCATGCTCGTGCGGGCCTTTAATCCTGGCACTCAGAGCCTGAGAAACAAAGTTTTATGAGTTCAAGGCCAGCCTGGTCTACAAAGTAAGTTCAAAGCCAGCCAGAGCTACATACTGGGACCTTGCCTCAATAAACAAACAAGCAAATACATAGATAGATAGATAGATAGATAGATAGATAGATAGATAGATAGATA